TGTTTCCACTCACTGAAAAGTCTCCGTTGCTTCCTTCCTCCCATGATCCGTCGTAATCTTTGTTTTTCCCTGATTTTCCCCCATATTGATTATGCTGACACGGCATATCCTGATCTTTCGGTAACACTACGAAACAAACTGCAAAGACTTCAAAACAACTGCATACGGTATATCTTTGATCTCGAGAGATCTCAACACATAACCCCATACCGTAATTATTTGCAGATATTAAGCTGTCAGAACCGTAGATCGTTTCGTATATTAACTATGTTATATACTGTTCTTCACAATCAAACCCCAAGGTATTTGTATTGTATATTTCAACGCTTGTCGTCGCATGGTTTACCTACTAGATCTCAGTTAGATTCTGTGCTTATGTTCCCGACCCATAGTACCGAGATTTACCATAAATCGTTTGCTGTGCAGGCAGTAACCCTTTGGAATAGTCTGCCTACTGAGATCCGTAATATTCCTCACCTTGTAACATTTAAAAACCACCTAAAACGTTATTTATTGGCTCTTCAAGTATCTTCCTGAAAACTTTTTCTTCTCTTCTTCTACTTTGCTTCTCTTCTCTTCTTCTTTTATTCCAGCAACTATCATTATGCACCGTTTTTGGTGACCATAAGTTTAGCATAATGATATAATATAACTTAGTATACTGCTGATTGATTGGGTTGTTTGGAAGATATGTATACATTTTCTTTAATTTGTATTTTTTGTTTCTTATTATGGCAATAAATTTATTTATTATTATTATTATTACTTGATCTCTGATTAAGCCAAGGTCGCTTAGGACCGAAGTTCTACAATTAATACAACCTCGTTTCAAAATTGATCAGCAAACTCTATAGCTCATCTGCTATATAATCTACTTAAAGTTTTTAGATGATTCTTATCATAATGCTGATATTAAATTTTTTTAATATGCAAAATGGGGTATAACTAGCTTTAAATTAAAAGAGATTTGAATGTTAAGTATTTTAATAGTACCAATTTCGGCTGTTAAGTTATCTTCAGGTTAATCTGTATAAAAGAGAACATACCTAAATGACACTTGAACATGTAATGGGTGGGTTTTATGGTAAGAATGACAGTGAAGGTGGGAGGGTCGAGGAGATTCGCGAGGAAATCTCGAATCTAATCGAATTGCTTAATATTGACAACACGTGGCGAGATTCCGAGTGAAATACCGGGATCGAGTCGATAGGAGAAATTCCAGATAGTCTGGTTAATTAAAGGGGACTCCCGTTTCAGTTAAATGTGTACCTACTTACTCGCAATCTGATGTACATTCTTCAACCACGCCGCTATTTATACGCTTAATGGCGCCCTTTTATCTCTCCCCTTTATGCAATTGAATAGAAACATAAGTCTTTAATGTTTTACGTCAGAGGGAAACCCATATTTTTGCGTCTCCGGATCCCTTTTGCAGTTATCGGGTAGGTGCGAATAATAGTCCGTTCTATTTTCATCCGAACTCTACTGCCTTACGAGTTCGAAGAGAATCCGGGGAATCCGGTCGGAAATAAACGTTAGCGTCTGGTGGGAAAGAGAGGAATTGAACTGTACTTTAAATGTATATTGCTCGCCCAAAACGCCCTTGGTTATACCACGCCGTGTTCCCCCTTAACGCAATTAACACTTTTACAATATCGGCCGGACACGGTTGAGCCTTTATTGCGTTACTTCCTACACCCGTGGACCCAAAACATCCGTTTACGTGTCCGATGAAAAGCTAAAAGGTACCATTAGAAAAACCCACCTTCTTTTTTCCGATAACAGCAAATATTTGTAGCGAGAATACTAGAATTATTGAATTTGACTTTCAATTTATAGATAAATAATACAATTAAACCCCATAACGCCGTGTTTTTACCTTTCGAACAGCAATTATTTAAAATTTCAATCGGTGTTTCGGTAATTAATAGTATTTATAGGTTTTATTTAATTATTTGGAACATGAAAGGGAGAATTGTATTTCATCAATTCAATTCTCCTCTATGGAATTTGTTGTGGCTTTAGCTATTATTCTATACCAACTAACAAATATTTCTGATTTTGACCTCGAAGGAATTTAGTTATTTATTCTAATTCGATCTCTATTTGACGAAATTTAAAATCTGTTTTGAGTAACAAAGTCAGTTGTAAAAATGTAACGTCATCCATTCGCTCTGGGCGCAAATTTGATAATTAAAATGGCTATATCTGTTGTGTCACTCTGCGGTTCGGGCGCTAATGAATGTTAATTAAATACGCAATAATTTATTAAGCCGTGTAACAGTTTACGTGCAAAATATCCGAGCAATAAAATCTGATAACGCGTACCGTTTGCTATAGGATCTCGCTTAAAAATGAAAAATTATCGAAGCTCGAAATAGTTTTGATGCTGCATTTTAATATTTTTTATTTTCAACGAACGTACATAGTTTGCGAAATACATATATGGGTAAATATTAATTCGACGGCATCGCTTCGCGTTAGTAGCAAAGTAAAAGTATGGAGATGTGCGCGGTTAATTCTAAATACTTAGTGCGTTTGAAGGGGTTGAGAAACGCAACCCGAGGGAGAGTAAAGGTTTGGCGTGCAAATACAGGAGAGATGTGGGGGTCTCCATACCGCCTTCCTACTAAATATTGCAATAGCTAATCTAGCATTGGGGCTAGAGTGTAACCGAGACTGCGCAGTGCACCATTTCATACACCCCTTATCATTTATGCACATAAAACGCGAGGACGACCGCGCTTTACGCTTTTACGTTTCACACGGAGAATATTTCCCGCCCTTCGATTCGTCCGACAACCACCGATGACCCAAGTTCCGATGCAATTAGCATCTTAAAACCTTAGAAATTTAATTAGGTTTGAAGATTCCCAGAGCGCCACTGCTTTCCGCCTAATAGACACGTCCTCTCTAAGATGGTATATAGTACTCCAAGATAATTATACCACCAGCTTCATCACCCCCAACTGTAGTTTCGCGGGGCTCAACTTCTCCAAAGCTGCATCTCGCATTATGCCTAAACAATAGGGAATTTCATTTCATTTTCCACTCCGATAATAATTAAATCACCTCTCTCTTAAAACTGCTACCAAACTCTATGTTCTAAACTTTTTATCAACTTTACAAATCATCAAATTAATTCTCTTATGATATCAAAAACTAATCTATAATATATATATAATTTAATATACGATTTTTAATAGTAAATGTAAAATTATTTATCTATTTATGCCAGATACTTCAAGTGTGCTCTCTATGTGTTCGAATCCCTAGATTCGTTGCAGGAATTTTGACGTTTTTAATTATAAACGCAGAATTAATTTTCTCAGGGACCAGAAACTACAACAACTTGGAATCAACTTAGATAATTCAAATTGGCCCTTTACTATACTTCCTGTACATCGGCAACTTCAAAATTGAAGTAGGGACGCGAGAAGAATTTTTAAAATGTGCTATTTTTAGCAGAATTTATTTTTTCAAGAATTAGAAATTGTGGCAACCTGAGAATACGCTAAATTAGTCAAGTGTGCTCTACATTATGCTCCCTAGATATCCGAATACCTAGATTTGTCGCAGGAACCATGGGGAGACTTTTTAATTTTTGACGTTTTTAATTATAAACGCAGAATTAATTTTCTCAGGGACCAGAAACTACAACAACTTGGAATTAACTTAGATAATTCAAATTGGCCCTTTACTATACTTCCTGTACATCGGCAACTTCAAAATTGAAGTTAGGGACGCGAGAAGAATTTTTTAAAATGTGCGATTTTTAGCAGAATTTATTTTTTCAAGAATCAGAAATTGTGGCAACCTGAGAATATGCTAAATTATTCAAGTGTGCTCTACATTATGCTCCCTAGATATCTGAATACCTAGATTTGTCGCAGGAACCATGGGGAGACTTTTTAATTTTTGACGTTTTTAATTATAAACGCAGAATTAATTTTCTCAGGGACCAGAAACTGCAACAACTTGGAATCAATTTAGATAATTCAAATTGGCGCATTACTTACTTCCTGTACATCGGCAACTTCAAAATTGAAGTTAGGGACGCGAGAGGAATTTTGTAAAATGTGCGATTTTTAGCAGAATTTATTTTTTCAAGAATCAGAAATTGTGGCAACCTGAGAATATGCTAAATTGTTCAAGTGTGCTCTACATTATGCTCCCTAGATATCCGAATATCTAGATATGTCGCAGGAACCATGGGGAGACTTTTTAATTTTTGACGTTTTTAATTATAAACGCAGAATTAATTTTCTCAGGGACCAGAAACTGCAACAACTTGGAATCAACTTAGATAATTCAAATTGGCCCTTTACTATACTTCCTGTACATCGGCAACTTCAAAATTGAAGTTAGGGACGCGGGAAGAATTTTTTAAAATGTGCTATTTTTAGCAGAATTTATTTTTTCAAGAATCAGAAATTGTGGCAACCTAAGAATATGCTAAATTGTTCAAGTGTGCTCTACATTATGCTCCCTAGATATCTGAATACCTAGATTTGTCGCAGGAACCATGGGGAGACTTTTTAATTTTTGACGTTTTTAATTATAAACGCAGAATTAATTTTGCCAGAAACTGCATCAACTTTAGATAATTCAAATAGGCTCTTTGCTATACCTCAGGAACCATAAATTGCAACAACCTAGGATTACCTAGGATAGTCCATGTAGTAAGCTCCCTACCTATTGATACTTCCAGATTTTCCGTACTGGCGAGTATCAATTTTCTGAATAAATTGATAAGATTCCTAACACACTTGATGCTCCCAGAATTGTTATAGGGAGAGATGTAAATTTGATGTTCAATAGAAACATAATAACAATAATCTTGAAATAGAAGTAATCAATATAAAGGGTTTGCTAAGACGTAGTTAGGTAAAATTTGCTGGAATAATTACTCAGGATTAATTTGGTAATTAGTGTCCAAAGTAATATTGGATCGCGACAACCGGTATAACGTATGTACTGAGTAGATTTATTGTTTTCAGTGAACGTCTACGACGGGGAACAGCTAAATTTGACTCGTATCAGCAGGACAGAAATGGGAGCATATCTATGCATAGCTACAAACGCGGTGCCGCCATCTGTGAGCAAGCGCATCATCGTCGACGTGGAATGTAAGTAGACGTATTTTTTTGCCTGTACGGTAATCCCTTTGATATGTAAAATGGGAAACTGTTCCGAATGGATGGCCGCAACATTTGTATAAATATCATTTTCTTTTAATTCAAAATGTGGGTGCGAAGAAAATGAAGGTAGAGGTAATCGTCTTACCTGCGGGATAAAATTGTAATTCATAGGGTGTTGTAAGTAAGGGTAGAGGGTAAGTAGATTAGGATGTACCCGGATAGTTCCGCAGGTCAGTAAATCATTATGAGGCCGCTAATTCCATTTCAACCATTCTCAATTCATCCACACGAAACTGAAGCCACTAAATTATAATAAACTCGGGCGGCGCAGCGGTTTTCCAACTCGGACGTGAAAAAATTACGGTTTCACGGCATCCCACAGAACCGCTTTTGCCTCTCTATCCACAATCCGCGCACGCATTTTCCCCGAATTCACCCTACACTGCACTTTCCATTATTCCATCGCGCAGTAAGACCGAGGAAATTAGTTTAGCGACCTTGTTTCTAGTCTTCCCCTCGAAAACATATTTAATATAACTTCACCCTCTCGCTAATTAAAATCTTATCTGGTTTGTTTGCGCGGCGCAAACCGATAGCGCTCTCTCATCGCGAGAGCAGATTCCTGCGGTCGCAGACGTCACGCACGAGGCATAATTAGGTATTCGGTGTTGAAATAGTGTACATATTTTCGGGTTAACAGGTTCGTCGGAATGCATTAATACGACGACTGCCAACAAGTGAATGCTTCTACTCTATTGTCCGTTCCGACCCCGGGACCGCCATTAGACTGCATGCCGAAGCTTTATTGAAAATCTATAAACAATTTGAATAACTTCGAACCGAGAAAACGATCTCTGAAAGCTATAAAAATATTATTTGCTCCTATACTCTTCATACTTTTCTTATTAAATCACCTATACAAGATTAACGTTTATTAAAATTAAACGAAAATGCATTAATTATCGTACCATTATGCAACCAATATTACAGTACTGGTATTGCAATACGCGATTTGCGTATTTGGTTGCATACGTCGGGTACGATAATTAATTAACACACTGTAGAATAAATTAGTGATTCGTAGAGATGAAGTAAAAGGATAGGAAGAAATGTATAAAAAAGGGTTGGTTTAGAGTAAGTAGGGTAATTGGTAACAAATTCCTCCTTCAGCTGCAGGTAGCAGGAGAGTGTAAATTTCAAACTCGAAGGAGTAAAAAAGGTAGTAACATTAATTTAAAAGGTTACAGGAAATTACCGTAATGGGGCCGCTATCGTGGTGAAAATTTAAAATTCCTTAGTACCCCCGAGAACTAAAAGTAATTGAGCGTTGCGCAAAACGAATAAAATTATATTATTTAACTAGTTAATGAGTGTACTTAGGCGTTTTTTTTCTTGGGTGCGCGGTTGAGAATTTTAAAGTCACTTGGAAAGTCGGCGCTAATCCATTCGACTTCCATCGGAAACGGTCACAACTTGTATAGTTTGTAATTCAAAAGAGACGTCGCTGTATGTAAAACGGGGGTGTTTCTCTTTTAGTTGCGCGTCGTAAAGCGACCGGACGACAGCACCGTATTTAAAGTGTTAATTATATAAAATCATTAAAAAAACATGAGCCAGTTAATTGCAATTCTGGATACACGGTTACAAGCCGTTTAAAAAATTTATTGTTATTTTATTGCCTTAATTTCCCATTTCGAAAGGGTAGAGAAAAATATGTATTTTATAGATGGATTCGCGATTTTCTGAACTTGAGAAGGTAATACCACGAGAAAATAATATCTTTGACGTCGAAACATGCAAACTGGATTAAGTTTTCTTCAGATATCAAAGGTAATAAGGTAGAAAAGAGGAAAGAAACGGAAATCTGAGTGCCTCGTCAACGTTATAGGATTATGCAAATTTATGCGCGACATGTAGGGCTGTCTGTCGCAGCTTTTGACAATCCCATCGATACATTATAAACAAAGGGATATCACCAGCTTTTATTGAGACCATAAAATATTGCCTTTTCTTTCGTTTCAACGAATATACATTTCCAGCATTTCGTATTTATATACAGTTCGACGACATTTTTCTTTTTTTTTCATTTCTCTACTTTTGCTTTTTTAATTTTGTTTTAATCTCGATCTGCCCGAGAAATAATTTGAGATTCTTAAACTCAACTGCAGCGTGTGTTTTCTATTTCTGGAAAAGGCGGCGGCACGCGATCGATTCTTGGGTTGCAAGTAAAATAAATAGTACTATCTAGACAAGTTGCACGAGAATGCGAACAAGATGTATTTTTCAATATGGCGACTTTTCCCGTACGAGAGAATATAAATTTCCCTTAAACTTCGACCCACTCGATCGTGCCCCTTTACACAAATTGTCCACGGCAAATCGCTCCCAATTTTTATTAATCCACGACCAAGTTCTTTGAGTTATACGTAAAGTTTTTTCGACAGGTATAGAAATTTATCCCATAATTCAAAATCACACGAAAACTTCGATTTCGCGGTCAGATTATCCACGTTAGAATATATTCATTACTCAATTCCCTTTTCCTCCAGAAACAATTTATTTCGCAAAGTACCCCACTTTACGAAATAAAACTTCTACACCTTTTAAACAGTTAATCGTTTAATTCTTTCGTTCTCCCAGGTTAGTTACACTCGATAATCAGTTAACACCGGTCCGGATTTCGTTCTATTTGCGGTAATTAAATGTTTAATTAAACGATTGTTAATTATCCCTATCGTATTAAACAGTAGTTTGTTGTACAATCGATACGTTACCAAATTAATTTTGCATCTACTGCGCGATTTACCATATTATTATGCGTTTATATATTGACTCGTTGACATTTAAACTTACTACGTTTATACGTTTGTTTGATATTCCCCATCATTTTACATACTATGTCAATATAATCTCATATTATGTTATCTAGTAATAACACATCCTCTATATTCATATTCAATTTACCTCGTTGGTTTACTTTTTTTTGAACGCAATCATTTTTGTTGTGCTTATCTAAGATATCCTTGCTTTTTCAACATCTAAATACAAAGTAATAATCTAGAAACTTGTGATTCTGAAATTTTACAATTCCTAAACCAAAACACTTAACCTTTAACTACACGCGCCCACTATTAACCACCACTATTAAAATACCAACATTTAATTTATTTAGAGTAAGACACTAAGTTAAGCTATTTCCTGATTTATTTTTAAGAAAGAACATTATCAAAACTCGTTTTGAAATAATACAAAAATTTAAAAAAAATCTTATAATGTAGGTAAAAAAAACGAATTAAAAAACAAGAAACAAAGACCACTGGAAGCTGTTTTAATTAACCTTTATTCACTATTTCCGGAAACTTGTTGGTCATTCTTGCACGTTGGACAGGTAACAGTAGTAACAGCATGTTCTTTGCACACCGGCTGGTTGCATATACTCCGCAACAAAAACACCTTTTCCGTACTTTTGCTGGCGGTTCTTCGTCACATTGCTTCAAAGGCCTTTTGTATTTCGAGAGAAAAACCTGTGTATCAGATGGTAAACTTTTGACTTCTGCCCTTTCTTCCAGGTAAGGTTTCATCAAAGACATTGCTAACGCCTTTAGATATTCTCTTCTGTATTTGTGCGGATTTTCAGTATGATTGGCATTGTACAGGATCTGACTATTTATACCTCCTATGTTCAGCAGTTGAAAAAAGACAATTAATGTCCACCTTCTGGTTCTGCTTAGAGACCGAATACGTGCTGCACATCTTGTCAACAGTGTCGACTCCACCCTTGTTAGCATTATAATCCAGAATAATATCTGGCTTCTTGGTTTCGGGATCTACTGATGAATTGCTATGCATTGATGACAGCAAGATTACCGCTTTGCCCTTTTTTGGAGTAAATGACACGATGGTAACATCCTTTTGAGACCCAAATATCGAAGATCCTACTTGTCTCTTTTTATTCGGCAAAAACTCTTGTGGAAGTTCCCTCTTGTTTTTTTTCAACGTTCCTACCAATGTTATTTTTTGGGTAAGAAGCTCCTTTGCCAATGGATAGCTGGTATACCAATTGTCGCAAGTTAAATTTCTATTTTTACCTTTCCACGGTTCTAGTAAGCGATGAATTACGTCAGCTGGTTTAGTAGATTTGTTATAGGGTCCTTCAGGTTGCTTTCCACAATATATCTCCATATTGGTCACATAGAAGGTTTTAGAATCACATAACACGAATGCTTTTATCCCATACTTAGCTGGTTTGCTTGGTAAGTATTGAATAAAGCTGCATCTGCCTCTAAACGGAATTAACATTTCATCTATCGTCATTTGCGCACCAAGACAATAATTATTTTGAAAATTTTCTATAAAACAAATCGTATGGCTTAAAAATCTCGAGCTGTTTCGAAATTTGCTCGCTTTTTTTCTATTTCTATATTGGTGTACACAAGAATTTTTTCAATAATATCGTCGGTAAACATTTTTTCAAACGCGCTTTTTTCAGAAGTTATATCTCGAGAGCATTGCTTTGGCCCAGGAAAGATTCTAACTATATTTTTCTTACCAATTTTACTAAATTTAGATGCAAGTGAGCGTTTGCTCCATTGTGTCACTTTATTCTTTCCTAAAAAGTATTTCTCTTCCTCTTCTTCTTCAATGTCCCTCACCACACTGTCTGTGAAGGCGGCAATTTGATCGTCAGATTCCTGCTCTGAATCAGAGCTGTGATCGCTTTCGCTTATAACTTCCTCTTCTGATGTCTCTTCATTGCCTCCCACTTTTTCTTCCGAAACATCATCCCAAATAACTTGTGCTAGAGTCTCTAGCTCTTCTTGTGTGAGGCGTTTTGGGTCCTTAATTTTGACTCGATCCCTAAAAAAACAACAAGTACCTAACAACTTTTAAAAAAATACATTGAATTTGAAAATACATTGAAAAAAAACCAGTGAAATGTTATATTTGATAATAAAATAACTTTCGAAGATATACTCACATGGCTACACGCGCGGTGTATTTTGTTCACCACGAGGTTTTTCCACGAAAATACGAACAACCTGTTCACCTACCTCGCATGTATCTAACTGTAACTATTGTTGGCTATTCTAGATACTATAGTAAGAGGATAGAGGGCGCATGATGTCACTGTTGTCAACTTAACAGGTTTCTATACGTGTTTTGCTGCGCGTGGTGTATAAAGTACACCAGCGCGTGTAGTTAAAGGTTAAACATTTCGTCCGTAATTTAATATAGTATTATAGCACAAAATGTCATCCATCACAAAGTTCTGGTGTTCCTGACACTCCAAGTCAAGTGTGTGCATGATTCTAAGTGACGACCATCTTGAGCAAAATCTTGTTAATCCTGATTGATGGCATCCACATTGATATCTGAAACCACATGAACATTCAAAAATTACATAATAATAATAATATCAGAAATACCAGGGTCATGTTAATCGTGGTAAATTGCATCTATATCGATATGCAACACCACAAATGTACTCAAGAATTTCATGGTAGCCATGCCAAGACCGAAGTTTTCCAGCTTCAAGAGAACGCAAATAGAGTCCGATTCCGATTGCCAAAAACACCAGGATAAAGTATATCGTGATAAACGACATATATATTGACATCTGAAGCCATAAAAGTACTCAGAGATTCCAGGGTAGCCATGCCAAGTTCGAGTTTTTTCCGCTGGAAGAGAAATCTTTATGAAGATGTCGGTCGATTCCGAGTATCAAAAATACCAAGACTTTGTGAAATACCAGAACAGCATTCTGCTATATTGCTGCAATACTGCAGCAAGCAACACTGATGGAAAAGCAATACTATGTTGATCTAGTTTTGGTGTATATGGTACTCATTATCATTCAAGAAATTACCATTTGCAATTTATTGTATGTACTTTACATAGCCCAAATAAATAAAGAAAACTTTATTTCATTATAAATGAGAAAAAAATTTGTTAGTGTTTCTAGATTTAGAACAATAGTTTTAAACTATTAATAAGATGGAATAATTAAGAACTTCTTATGTCAGGAAATTTGGCTAACTGACAGATTCCAAGTCGCTGTGAAGAAGTTGTAAATTATAGATTTCCTTCCTAAAACTTTTCTCTACTATCTAATCGCAATCAATAAAAATCTAAACCCCAACCAATTCAACACTTACATCATCGCTAAGCAACTCTTAAAGTGGCAAACAGAAGCTATAATCTTGGATGCTATCTGTGGATAAGACTTTTTAATGTTTGAATAGTGAAACAGAGCGCAACATATTTGTATTTTTTTGGTGAGTGGTGTAACAAGGTTATAAATTAGAACGACAAAGCGGCGGTGTATAAATTTCGGGGTGTAAAGTTTATTGCGGAAACAAAGACATCCTCCTCCTTAAAATTAAACCACCGTTAAACCGTGGGGGTTGGGTTGAGGAATAGCCCGGTTTAAGGTATAAATAATACGGCCTATAAATTTAACGCACACGTTTTTAATTGCGCCAGTTTTTCGTGGGTGTTATTATTTACCTCCCAGATGATTTCCGCAGGTACCCTTAAATTTACGGCATTCGGGATTTTCCTTAAAAACATTTTCATTACATCCTGGCCGCGGTGTTTTAAAGCATGTTGACGAATTTCCCGACTCTACTAGGGGCTTTATTTCCCTTGAGTTACTGCTCTACGGGGATATAGTCGTGCCCACGGCTTCTGAGGCACAACCAACACGCGGCAATTTGCATCGAAATTTATGTTATTGTTGACTGCAAATATATTCGGCTTTACAACGCTAATTGATCTTTGTTCGCTGTCATTATCGACTGCTCGACGCCGGTACATCCAGCATAATGGAGCGACATTTTCTTCCCATTGACAATTACGGCTTTCGGTTTGATGGTTCGCTATATCCTACCAAAGCCGTAATCGATTTCACCTCACCAGGACAACTCGTTTTTACTACCAACAATTTAAGTTTTTAATTTCGATCTTAGCGTGCGGCAATTTGGGTGGAAATTCCTTTCATGGAATCTCGAGGCGCCGTCGGGACACGTGGCATGTATTTTATTATCACTTGTACGGGAGCCGTTTACACCCGGGAATAAAACTTTTTTCGATACGTCGTCGTCGGAAAAACTTTTTTGATCTCCACGGTAATTATTGAATACCCGGAAGTTGCACTCGCTCGCCGAAACAGGTAATACACCGACTACGAGGCGATTTATTATCCACGTCCGGCCGTGGCCGATAATACGCACGCATTTGCGCCCTCACTACCCGAAGTAAACAGATAACGAATTTCCAATCGCCGAATAATGGAGTATCATCATATCATTCATTAGGCACCCTAAAAAGCCGCTTAGTTTACGCATATTTCACAAAATCAATGCTTAAATTTATCTCTAAACTAATCCTAACGTTTATTAATACATATCGTTGTTACATACTACAGCTTTATTTAATACAAAAAGAATTAATTACAACAAATCACAAAGGGTACATTATTATTTAATCCTAATTAACATCGATTTTCAGATACAAATAGAACCCTTCCCAACTGGTTAGTTGTTTTACAGTCCTTTATGGCACATCAGAATTACGTCAACATTTAATGTATCAATCATGCATTATTAAAGTTAGTTAAATTTTATCAAAATTTAATGGATTTGAAAATGTTTCAATAAATTCACAATTAATTAATAAATATACTTGAAATATTCGCAACTATTAAGTGATAATGGAAAAAAATTACTTGTAGCATGAATCATATTTATAAAAAATTTCATTTGATACCTAGGTTATGAAAATCGAAATGTAAATAACACAGTTACAGCTTGTGACACCCTGTATAAGTTGATTTTTTATAAAAATAAGAATTAGAATATAAATAAAAATATATAATAACATATATTTCTAAGGATCTCAATTGTAATGCCTCGCCTACAACCTGAATTCGTGGCTTCGCTGTGTACAAGCTATATTTATATGACAAGTTCTCCATGCTATATTTCCACCAGTTATATAGTAATAAAGCCGAGGTCGCTTGCGGCCGAGGCAGTCTTTCAATCGCGATTAATTTCTAAGAATCTAAATTGTAATGCCTCGCCCGCAAGCGACCTCGGCTACAACCTCAGTTCGTGGCTTCGCTGTATACAATCTATATTTATATGACAAGTTCTCCATGCTATATTTCCACCAGTTATATAGTAATAAAGCCGAGGTCGCTTGCGGCCGAGGCAGTATTTTAATCACGATTCATTTATAAGGATCTCAATTGTAATGCCTCGGCCGCAAGCGACCTCGGCTACAACCTGAATTCGTGGCTTCGCTGTACACAATCTATATTTATATGACAAGTTCTCCATGCTGTATCTCCACCACATACAGTAATAAAGCCGAGGTCGCTTGCGGCCGAGGCAGTATTTTAATCACGATTCATTTATAAGGATCTCAATTATAATGCCTCGGCCGCAAGCGACCTCGGCTACAACCTGAATTCGTGGCTTCGCTGTATACAATCTATATTTATATGACAAGTTCTCGATGCTGTATATCCATCAAATAAAGTAATAAAGCCGAGGTCGCTTGCGGCCGAGGCAGTATTTTAATCACGATTCATTTATAAGAATCTAAATTGTAATGCCTCGGCCGCAAGCGACCTCGGCTACAACTTGAATTCATCGCTTCGCTGTGTATAATCTTTATTTATATGCAATTGTAGTGCCTCGGCCGCAAATGACCTCGGGTATAACCTAAATTTTTTTCGGCTGTGTACAATTTTTTATCCCAAATAAAATCTTAAAGATCAATTTTTATAATATATAAAGATATTGACTGATTCTATGAAATGTTAGTGTAATTATTTAAAGGTATTGATCGATAAAGTTAAAGAAAATTGAACTGGCCGTTATCATAGTGACACATAGGGGCAATTGGTATCCGAAATTCTAGGAGTTCGTTGTCGAAATTTATGCCGTCTTCGCGTTTCGGGTGTGCACAGTCAATGCGATATATAGAGTTACGCGTAACGTGTGTAATGGCTTGTAAACGATAACTACGCGGTAGTCCGAATCGATTTCCGAGCAGAGGTAACATAATTTCGGAGTGTTTTCGTTTTATTTCTTAGTAAGAAAAGAAAGCAGTGAACTCAGCCTTAATGATTGAATTTATATTTATTTGCAGTTTCCCCAATGATATGGGTACCAAATCAATTAGTTGGGGCCCCAGCAGGAACTGACGTTACCATCGATTGCCATACTGAAGCATACCCCAGGGCGATCAGTTATTGGATGTACGAAAACGCAATGCTGTTACCGTCGAAAAAGTACGGAACAGAGACTACCGAGAACAGCTATAGGGCACATATGAAGCTCACCGTCAGGAACATGCAAACGAAAGACTTCGGCAACTATCGATGTATTTCGAAAAATTCTCTTGGCGAAACAGAAGGTTCCATCAGACTTTATGGTAAATAAAAAAATAAAATTTTTAAACGAAACTTTTCAAATGCCATTTAAAAAAATTTACAGTCGATTGGGAAATGCTCAACAAACTGTACGAACACGTGGGTGGCTTGTGTTCAAGCGATCCATTGATAAACACTTCAGGGCGAGATACGAAACGTTCGGGTTTCCGCGAATGACGAGAGATAGCCTGACGTCTGCGATTGGTATTGTCTTTCAATAAGCTGATATTTCCAACGTGTGCTCCGCGTTCTTTAAACTGGCTATTGACGTACTCGCTCCCTGACGTGTTCAACAACCGCAAACGACGGGGCTTTGCCTTTTATTCGCTCACCATTTCTAAAAGAGGCTTTTTGACCTCTTCAACTGACATCCGTTTAACAAAAACTCAAACGACTTTTGAACAAAATAAACAATCTAAATAATAAATTAAAATTTTTTTCATCAAATTTATCATTATACAGTTTTTTTTGTATTACAGAAATACCAATGCCATCGACTCCTCCGAGAGCAACCGAGATGAAGAGTGGTTCCAACAAAGAGAGTAAGAGAACCCCTTAAAAATGGCAATAATCAGCCTGGTCCCTTTCGTTGTCCCTTCTCCCTCGCTGCGTAAACAAATTGGGGGTGCCGCGGAATGGAGATCATTTTTCGAGTGAAAAACACCCCCGCGACGTGTCATATACCGGTGCTAACGTTGCCGCATTAATATTAACCCGGAAAGAATACGCGACCGCACGCGTCGTTAAGGGTTGACGTGAATTTCACACTTCACACTCCGAATTTTCAAAACCCTCCACCCTTAAACATACATGTACTCACGCGAAAGGGTCGCAACCTTGTTTTATATATTACATTAAGAATTAATACAATTAAAATGTTTACAAACATAATTGTTATTTATATATCAACTTGTGAGTACTTACTCTTTACATATAACCCTAAATACTCCTTATAGAAGACTATTAAAAGAATAAATACTGATAATGGAAGACTCCTAAATACTGCCTGAATAAGTCTAGATGGAGGATTAGCTTGATATTGCTAATGGATGACTGAATATTGCTTGCAGGAATCAAATTTTCTGTCTAAATCAGAATTAATCTGAATTAACTAATTCAAATAGTCGTTAAAAGAATTATGAATAAAAATGTTTATTTAAAAAAAACGTTAGGGTAGTTTGAATGTTATAAGAGGGTGGCACTGTTAGTGCAACTCCTTGGAGAATAGAAACACGGTTTAAACTCCGTTATACCGACGAAGGTGGAAAGTGGGTTGGAGGCTAAAAACTGCCAGACTCATTGTACCCCGAATATCACCGTTGAGAATAACTTGCGCTCCTTCTTAACCCTAACTTTTGCCATTACGGTAGTCGCGTTATTGTAACGGCGAACTTGCTTCTTTCGCCCTCTGACTATTTATTGTGAAAAAGCTTTACCGGACGTAGACCTCTTCCACGCTTGATAAATTTTAAATAAATTAATTTTGATAGTCGTTAATTTTCGGGTTAATAAGTATTGACGTTGTTTTCTTAGATGGAGGTGGTAAACGAAACGTCAGCCGAGTTTTGGGTCAAGATGATCGTCCGAAGGTGATGGTTTCGTCTTCGGATAAGAAAGATCCTCAAGCAGAACAGACGGTAGAGACTGGTTTAAGTGTATACACCCCTCCAGGACCAATTGGATCAGGTATATAACTTCATCGAAAAGCACATAACCGCTTCGAGCATTCTAGATTAATTTATCAAGCCGCGAGCGATCACATCGTGTGTATTCCAATAATATAACCGGGGTCGAAACTCTACGCTATTGATCTTTAAAATTGCTCTTGCATCCGAAGCCAGCGTGTTGCTCCAAACCGCTGTAATTTGAACCACCTGTTACTGAGATTCAATCGGAACACACCATTTTTACCTTCGATACGCCCTTTCGAAGGCGATATGCCGCGCGTGAATATCTTATCCCGATTCGGTTTTTAGTTTCGCTTCTCCCGAGAGCGCACGTTCCGGAATTTAATAACGCGTTAGCGAAAAAATATACAGTATATCACACCCTTCTACTACAGTAAATTTCCCATAAATCAGCGGGAGTAATGTATTTTTTTTTTTGAGGGGACACAAAGGATGTGGGGTCCTGCATAATAAATCAATTCAGGGAGTGGAAACACAGGTCTGGCTTAAAAGGCGAACTTTTTATATTTAAACTTATATTTAAATGATGTACTTTGCATTCAAATGCACCCCGTCTTAAAAACGGGGATGATGGACTTTTAAATTTCCCGCCTTAATACTTTTGAGCAAACTGAGGTGAGTGCCTGGGGTTGATTTTTATGGTCGAGGAGCTGATTGGGTTTCCCTTTTCGTATATCAATTAAATGGAAATAATTTAGCCCTCGATCGTCGTGACGCGTCGTCTACGTTCGTCCAACCCATCCAAATAATCAAAATAATACGCCAACGTTATGTAAACAATGTACGGGACATTAATTCCAACATAATACATATGCAAAATAGCTGCATTACGGATTTACTATCTGTTAAATTTATCGAAACATTTATACAGAATATATTTCATTCCAGTAAAAGGTTTACGCTTTGAATTTAATCGATTTATACCTCGCTTATAAGTACGTTCGTATAAATTATCACCGAAACGCTTGCCAACCCTCGCCCTTGTATAATTTCGACCATCAGACCCGATAATTAAAAAATAAGGAAACTTCTCCCCACTTACTTAGCTCCCAAGACCCTATTCTATCTAATGAAAAGAGAAACCTTTTTATATAAAAGAAAACACAGTGAAGATGGTGCGAAAAATAAAAACACAGAAACTACTGGGCGTTGCTGCCTTATATTTCACTCAAGGAAAAACTACCTACCTCGGAAAAAGCTTATGCTTTCAGAAGTGCTAAAATATGGTGTAAATAAGTAGCAGGCTTTATTCTCACCTTTTTATAACAATTCACTTCGCCTTCAAAATTTAAGATCCCATTAACAATTATCAATTTTTTTAATTATTAACAATATTTAATTCGCATTAAAATTAATAACTACATTAATGTAATGAGCATTTTTTTATATTATACTGAAAATATTTGCAATGAAAACTTGTAATATAATATCGACAAAAAGTGGGCCTGTTTTGTAGGACATATAAGTAAATTAAGCCGATAGCATTTTTGTACAAAACTGCACAGATTTAAAGCATGTATTATTCAATTAAGACGAGGTCGCTTGCGGCCGAGGCAGTGCATCGACAACATATTAATGATAAGTTCCATAGACTAGCTTTCTATCGATATGCCGCCTCGGCCGCAAGCGACCTCGGCTTAATTAACTCATATATGGTTCTAAATTGACTAGCTTTTTATCGATATGGTATCAATATGAGGCCTCGGCCGGTGTAATTAAGTTATATATCGTTCAATACAGTTGAGCTGAACATCAATATAGCATAGATGTACCGCCTCGGCCGCAAGCGACCTCGGCTTAATTAACTTATATATGGTTCAAAATAGAATAGCTTTCTATCAATATAGTATCGATATGCCGCCTCGGCCGCAAGCGACCTCGGCTTAATTAAATTGTACATCGTTCAATACAGTTCAGCTGAGCATCACTATATTAGTATAGATGTACCGCCTCGGCCGCAAGCGACCTCGGCTTAATTAACTCATATATGGTTCTAAATTGACTAGCTTTTTATCGATATGGTATCAATATGAGGCCTCGGCCGGTGTAATTAAGTTATATATCGTTCAATACAGTTGAGCTGAACATCAATATAGCATAGATGTACCGCCTCGGCCGCAAGCGACCTCGGCTTAATTAACTTATATATGGTTCAAAATAGAATAGCTTTCTATCAATATAGTATCGATATGCCGCCTCGGCCGCAAGCGACCTCGGCTTAATTACATTGTACATCGTTCAATACAGTTCAGCTGAGCATCACTATATTAGTATGGATGTACCGCCTCGGCCGCAAGCGACCTCGGCTTAATTAACTCATATATGGTTCTAAATTGACTAGCTTTTTTTCGATATGGTATCAATATGAGGCTTCGGCCGGTGTAATTAAGTTATATATCGTTCAATACAGTTGAGCTGAACATCAATATAGCATAGATGTGCCGCCTCGGCCGCAAGCGACCTCGGCTTAATTAACTTATATATGGTTCAAAATAGACTAGCTTTCTATCAATATAGTATCGATATGCCGCCTCGGCCGCAAGCGACCTCGGCTTAATTAAATTGTATATCGTTCAATACAGTTCAGCTGAGCATCACTATATTAGTATAGATGTACCGCCTCGGCCGCAAGCGACCTCGGCTTAATTAACTCATATATGGTTCTAAATTGACTTGCTTTTTATCGATATGGTATCAATATGAGGCCTCGGCCGGTGTAATTAAGTTATATATCGTTCAATACAGTTGAGCTGAACATCAATATAGCATAGATGTGCGGCCTCGGCTTAATTAACTTATATATGGTTCAAAATAGACTAGCTTCCTATCAATATAGTATCGATATGCCGCCTCGGCCGCAAGCGACCTCGGCTTAATTAAATTGTACATCGTTCAATACAGTTCATCTGAGCATCACTATATTAGTATAGATGTACCGCCTCGGCCGCAAGCGACCTCTTAATCGCATAATACGTTTTAAAAAACTGTGTAGCTTTGTATTGATATATAACTTAATAAAGCCTAGGTTGTTTATATACATGTAAATGTATTAAATAATTTTTAAAGAAGTATGGAAGTAGTATTTGTTATATATAATTGAAATTTATTTCTATTTTAATTTTCAGGTTGTATTAGAATATCGAAATGGACTCATCAAATGGCGATCGTAACAACAATTCATATCATCGTGCGTAAACCGTTTGGATCGAATTAAATGTGACGTCGTCAGCTCAAAAGAAATATTTTTATAGTTTTAAAATCGGTTCGGCGGAGTCGGAAAATGTGAATGTGCCGCAAATTTCTATAAGACTGCTCATTTTTGGATTGCGCTTCAATTTCGCTTCCTACGTCATTAGTTTTACCGTAATATCCGTCAAAAACATATCGGCTATAGAAGTGGGGTCTCGAAAGCATTTCCATAAGGGCGGGTCACAGACAATCGATCTGCAAGAACATTTGTTTTGACTGCGAGGTGAAGTGTGCATTTTTTCGCTTCTCTTAAAACGTAAATGTTAGTTCCCTCACCAAAAATCCGAATAAAAAAGTAAATTAATAAATAAATAAAAATCGATTTGTAAATAATTATACGACAGCTTATTGTATATTACATGTACCTAGTAAAATATACCTTCTTCCGTTTTCAAGCGACGACGGAAGAAATTTTCATTGAAAATCACCGTGTATAAAAATTAAGTGTTGATGAATTGTTTAAAAGTGCCAAAGTATATAAAAAATAGTAGGTAGACAATGTCACATTTTCTTTTCCGAAACCGCAAAAATAATGCATTTCATTTGGACATATCAAACAAAAATATCAATAGAAGGCACACGAGCGATGATGTGGTGTAATATTTTCTGAACACCATAGTTTTATGCACTTTTTAATTTGAATAAAAAAAACATCCCCATAATTTCAGCACTTCAAAGGACAAAAAACGCTCACGTATGTTTGTATTTTTTTTTTGTTTTTTTCTGCGGGGAGATGAAAGCTATGTTACGAATCAGTCCCCGCCGCTATAAAAATTGAGAAACGACACGATTCAAATCAAAAATATATATATCCGACGACGCGTCTTTTATTTTTGTGATATCTATTATAAATATATCGATGTTAATGTTACTTTTTACGATAATCACCGATTATCGTTTTATCTCAACTATTATATGTTTCCCCCTCATTTTTGTTGTCAATTATACATTCCTTAATCGATAACTGTTATCGTTTCTTATATTCTACTATTGGTAATAAAATAAATGAATTAATGAAACGAACAACTTGTTTCTTTTTTAAAATTCTTATTATTAATTAAGGTAAGTAAACAAAGTTGACTTTGACAAAATGATTTTGGTGTTTCAAAGATACCAAAAAATTAAAAAAACGTCATTGGAGCGTCGAAATACTTCAAATCAATTAGAAACATCTCCTTGTAATTTAACAAAGATGACCAAGTTAAAAATTTTAGAAAAATTTTTTTCCAGAAAATTCAAAACATTTAGAATTTGGTAAAAACTCGCTGGTGTAAGTCAAAATTGCTTAAAAACATTTTAAGAATGATTAAAATAATAAAAATGATTTTAGTAATTTTTTAAAGTGATTGGTGTGTGTCAAAATGGCTCAAAACAATTTATTAATATTGTCAGAAAGCTGAATAAGTAATTTTATTAATGCATAAAGAATAAAGTAAATTTTTTGATAAGAATATTTTTATATTTTGTTGAATCCGCAGTATATATAGAGAGGTTAGTATTTTTTTTTCGTTGAAGAAGTGTGGGTTGTGTAAACGATACACCGCCTTAGAAGGTCCGCATAAAGCGATGGGATGTAATAAAATTTATCACATCACAAGTCAAGGTGGGGCAATTTCTTTAGAACGCTACCGGAATATGTGAAATTACAGATGATCCATATGTGTCATGATTCTCCCCGGTTTCTTTCTTCGCGTTTAGTGTTGGGAAGGATGATGGGGTGCGAATAAAATAGTAATTGACCCGAGACCGGGTTTTGGGTAATAGTTTTGCAATTTGTGCTCCAGTGAACTATTTTGATTAGTTTCGCGAAATTATGTAGATATAATCCGGTATGGAAATCCTTTGTATCGACCGACGTGGGCCTCGTGCGGGGTCCAACTTTATTTGTCGACGAACATAGCCAGGTTTGTAACTAATTGAGACATAGTTTTGCCGTGTCCCTAATGAATAAAAGAAAGAAGAAATTAATTAATTATCATACCCGACGTCATCATTGCAAGTATGCAACCAATATCACAGTACAGATCGCACATTACACGATTTGCGTATTGCAATACAAATGCTGTGATATTGGTTGCATAATTACGGGTACGATAATTAAGTAACACAGTTACCTTTTATTAACTTTTTATTATCCTTCCCTCACTTCCGGATTTAATCACGGTAGTGGAGAACATTTCATGGTTTACAGCTTGAATGCGCTCGACGCTGAAATTTTAAAGACGCCCGCTTGACCTTGAAAGGCGCCCCTAAAACCGATTCGAAACGAAAGAAACTCAATATTCTCGAGCCTCCCGTTTGTTTTCGGGCGACCGATTGCATTAAAGTGTTTTAATGAAGGTGTAAATTGTATCTCTTCGGTCTCCGGGGACCCCTCCAATTTATTCAAGCGATTCATCAGCCTCCCGCAACCACCACCCGAAATCTAATATTGATTTGTTTGACATGTAAATCTAAACGTCACAATAAAGTACGTGATTTAAGTAGTGAGTAAAACGGCTCGTATACCGTACGAGTTTACTCCCTCTTATTTATTTCACCCTTTCTAATTTGAATCTCAATTCTATCTCGATCTAAATTTCCATTTTGCAACTGCTTCCAGTTTTAGTTTGAATTCCCCAACAAGGTTTGCACTCTTGCTGTTTACGCTAATTTTGCATTCATACGTGCTATGCTTCGACGGTTTTTTACGAATTTACATTTTTCCCGTTTCGAAATCGCGGTTGATCCATTCCACAATGAATGCAAAATATTCAAATCGATACTTCTATTATACTTAAACCGCTACATTAGTAATATAATAACATAATTAAGTATTTGACCTTCATTTGACCCCCGTAAGATATTCACGACGAGTATAAAATGATTTGATGCAAAATAGTTAAATAATGCAATTAAAACAGATATTAGGTATTGTTTATAGAGTCAAGAGCCCTTAAGAGCGATTATTTTCCGTAGCAACTAAAAGGTTTGAGTTGAAGAACGGGTTGGAAGTTCGAACGACCTCGTAGTAAAAAGCCGTCGTAAGCCGTTTTAATTGGGGGGTATTAAAAATGAGGAACAATCGAGTAAAAACAGGTGGGCTGCGGTGACCTTCTTCAAGCCCGTTAAACCCGCGTTCATGTCGTAGCATGCCGCGCGCGCGATTTAAAATCGGCATTACGTTCGAGTTTTAATTACGAGTGTTCACGTTGAATATTTAAAAGTGAGCCAAGTATTGGCGGTGGCAGCGAGGTTTTGAGATCAAAGGGTAAACGCTTACGCCCACAATTCCCGATTAACACACAACACCCGCCTTACACCCCTCCGATACGGGATCCCGGCGTTTAATGGATTCTAAAACACTCGATTATCCCGCTACTGACCGATTGAAGACGGTCCCAGGACCTTCCCCAGGATCGCTCCATCGGATTGGTATTCTAACCCGCACCGCATCCGACAGACTGCCTGATGTATAGGTGTCACTGATCCTGCATATTTAGTAGATCCTCTCTCGTCCTACTCGAATTCACCCTAGTCTCTTCCAACCCCAGGATCGAAACCCCTTTCCGCAAAACCGATATCCTTACTTTTCCTGATTATCAACCTCGTAGACAATTACTCCCTTGAAACAGAATGCCGTTCTCGACCTAATCTATTCTTTAGTTTTGTACAACGAGATCTAGAACCATGAGTTCGGAGCGTCATATTGACTGTTTTCTGCTACGAACGGAAGTGACACAAACCAGAAAAAGGAAGCACTCCGTGGCGTTTTATTTGAAGCTTCAGCTCAACAACCGAGTATAGGTTCTATGCCGACAGTCCGTTCCCGTTCCGTGCCACAATGCGAACACACCGTTTAGAGGAACTCTTTGAGCTAAATTGCGCCATAATCTTTAAAACATTGTCTCTCGCATCCTCTAACCTTCGGTCCCGCCTTATCGATTACTTGCCTTCGGTTAGCGCATTTTTCAAAAACTTTTCTACGACTACACAGACCTCTGCTCACCATTTATCTCATTTTTTTACTGCCATTTTTTAGTTGACCACTTCACTTACCTTCGCTTTGCCTCTAGCCCCACCACATCCACAAACACAATAACGTAATCCGGACGAAAAGTTCTATATCCCACCAAATCCTAATTTGTTGGCTTCTAATCCCCTTCTTTATATCCTCAACTATTTCTCTTATACAATTTTTTTGTCTTTAATCAATTAATTTATCAATTTATTTTTAAAATATCTTTCACCAAAATAATATCACAAACTGTATTAATTAAGTCGACGACGTTTACGGCCGAGGGGCTACTATATCATTATAAAATACACAGTTTTTAAGAATCTAATTGTTTGAGATGTTTAATTAAATTTTTTTTATATCATCATACAAAACTATATAATTTTCAAGGTTATTTAAGCCGAGGTCGCTTGCGGCCGAGGCGCTATATCGAAAAGTTTAATGTTGATTGATATTATGTAATAATTAGGGCACGGAACTTTTGTAACAAAACGATACGATTTCCCCCCTCCACTCCTTCTCAGCAGAAAATTTCATACAAAAGTTGTTCTAAATTAAATTCTAAAACGATTTTCTCAATAAAAAAAATATATCTATTTTTTTGAGATTATGTTCTTAATTATTGATCAAATCAAAAATTTTTATGAACAATATTTGTTTAGAATTACTTCAGGAACAGTGTTTGTTAATACAATTTTTGCTAACTTGAAATTTTAATTTCCCTCTGAATAGTATGCTATCAAAATTAATTATCTCAACAATTATTGTTTTTATTAAGAAATGTTTTAAATAAAATTTGTTTTAATTTCGATTTTGAATCAATTATCTTAATAAAAAATTTTTACATCTCTATTAATTAAGCATCTAAATATAATTATGTATAAAAACGGAAAAATTATTATTTTGAGGTTATCTCCTTAATTATTGATTAAATCAAAAAAAAATGTTGACAAAATTGTTTCAGTAACAATTTTTGTTAACACAATTTTTTTCTAACTTGAAATTTTAATTTCCCACTGAACAGTATGCTGTTCTTTTAATCAAGATTTTCTGAGAACGAGTGGAGGGGGGAAATCGTATCGTTTTGTTACAAAAGTTCCGTGCCCTGGTAATAATAATCCATAAGTAGTACATTAATGTATTAATTATTATCTTATATAAGTTATATAATACGAAATTAGTTATAGATTTATTGGTTTTAGATTAGGTAGATTTAAATTGGATTTTGTTATACAAACTATTTACAGTAACGGTTATCGACACTATGATAGACTAACTAACCTAGTTCGTATCGAGGGTACTCGTTAATTATGAATGGCTCGTCG